ACTAAAAGTACAGAATAATTTGTAAAAAAAAAGTATTTTTAATGTATTTTAATAATATATGATTATGTATTTAACATGATAAGGGTGTAAAATAAAAATTGAAAAAAATGAGAGATATAAAACAAATCAAATAAATAATTATAAGGTACAAAGTGTAGGTATTAGAAATTACTCGTTCGTATTTATGATGTTTAATAATATAATTAAATCCGAAAATATTCGATATTGAGCTCATTTTGAAGGTATTGACGAGTTGATTATAATGATATAATTTGTAAAAAAAACACATTTTTAATATATTTTAGTTAATATACAATTATATATGTTAATATGATACAGAAATAAAATAAAGAACAAAAAAGTAAGAGATATAAAGTAAATTAAATAACTAACTTAAAAGATATAAAATATAATTTAAAAATAAAAATAATTTGATTTTTAGTATCATGTTAGACGTGGGAGGTTGTGCAAATTTCAAACTTGTACATAATGTTTATTTTTTTGTAACTTTTAATTTTCCAACATTAACCGTTACCCGTACTTATTAATATAGTATAGATAATTAGATATTGATGATTGATTTTAATTTAAGAACCTAAGAACCAATCATGTTATTCATCATTAATGTACGATTCATTATGAATAACACAGTCATATTCATCATGAATATGTAATTCACATTGAAGATGGACATGTGTCACGCTGTGAGTGGTTCATAAGTCCTAATCAATTTTAGGCTCGTAACAAGATTTCCCTCTTAATCAATATATCAATCCGAACCTTGACATAATCTAGATTCAAACCGAAAGTAGATAAGATTTTCCACTATACCCCCCCGAAGTCAATATCAATACATATTAAATGAAATGGATATTCAAATACAGTGACTCCGGACAATTTGCAAAACATGTGGTCGTTCTGGAATTAATCGACTCACATAACGAGTTGGATATCCAAATTAATAAAAAAAATCCAGAAAGTAAAACAATAATATCGACTGTGAAATGGAAATCACAAATTTGTTATCATGAAATCAAAATCGAACTACAAACATAACTATTTCACAAGTGAAATAAATATGTATTTTTTAATATTTATAACTTCATCGTATTTTCTAACATAAATATATAAAAAGCAATAATTATTCTTTAATAAAGTGTTCACAATCTTATGTTAAAAAGTAGCCCACTTACAGGGAAAAAAACCCTTCCCCCATAACCACCCCGATCCACCCCCGTCTTCAAGTATCAATAGGTCTCGATGAACTCCTCTTGCTCTGATTGTCGTCTTCAACGAACACCTCTCTTTTCTCTCTCTCTCTCTCTCTCTCTCTCTCTCTCTCTTTCTCACTCCGATGAACTCCACCAAATGGACACCGACCTCCCTGTCTCTTTTTATTATATTTTTCTTAAGTCGATCTATGATTTTATTCGCTTTGGAGATGAACAGTGGGCAAACCCGCTCGCGCTCTTCTTTCTTCGGTGAACGGTTGTGGTTTCCATTTTGGGTATCGTTTTAGGTTAGGGTTTTTAAGTTTAGTTTTGATTTTCGTTATAGTTCTTGTTGTAAGTTGATGTTAAATTATAGTGTTTGCATTTCGGTTATGAACTTATGCCTTTCGATTTTGATTTTAGGTTAGGGTAGAGTTGGGAAGAAGAAGAAGAAGAGACAGAGCGGTTCACTGTTAATGACCGCCACAGATCGTTGGAGGGGTAAAGAGCAGAGATCATTGGGTCTCAACTCTCAACATTATAAAAAATCTCAATTCTAACTATATTTAAAAAAACATTAAATTTATGGGGCCATATATTATATACTCTTAAACATTTTTTTTATAAATATAATAACTATAATTTGTAAATAATTTATTTACTAAACAACCATTTTTCAATTAATAAATTTTACATTAGGTCAAAAGTCAAAAGTACTAGTAGGTCCTAGGTCTAAATTAGGTCAAAAGTGCCTAGTTAGTTTGAGCTTGGCTTCAAAGATCAAAAGTGTCCGTAGATCCTAGGTTTAAATCCAAGGAAAAATAAAAATTCTCTTGTGGCTACGGAGGTTCAAATGCGATGACTCCGAACTATCTGCAAAACAGATGGTCGTTCTGAGATTAGTCGGCTCGCATAACGAATTGTATATCCAAATTAATTAAAAAAAGTAGTTTACTATTGAAAAAAAGATTCTAATCAGTAAAATACAAACAAGTAGTCTTTAAAAAATAAAGCATGATTACGTTTGTACATTATTTTGTCAGCCGGCTAGTGATGCTACCTTCAATTTAATATTATAAATAAATTAATTAATTAATATTTTTAATATTTGAGCTTATATAAAAATAAGAGTTTTGACGATAACAGTGAAATATATTCGAGTTTATGAATTTGTTAAAATTTTGATCAAACAGTTATATTGACAAAAACTTTAAAATACTTTTAACTGACGGATGACAAAAAAGATGCGGATGTTTATCCATTTTCAGTTACCATCTTCAATGAAAGGTTTTTATAAGTAAAAAGTGTAGTGAAAGCATCACCGACAATTACTTAAAAAATTAAAATGGAGATTTTAGAAATTTAGGTGTATTTTTGTACTGACAGCTATGCTATAACATATGCTCAAATAGGTGTATTTTAGAAATTGAAAGAGGTTCTTATGAGAACTCCTATTGTGAACTTTATTCATGTTCTTAGGATTGTTTGAGAGTTGTTGAATTGTTTAGTGCAATATGGTTACATGGTTCAGAATGCTTAAGAGACTCTTATAGTATAGTGAAATATGAAATATGCTTATTTGGTAATTGTCCATAATGAAATTGGGGTGCTTCATGGTTCAAGGAGGCATAAGATACAAAATCATTCAAAGGGTTTTAAAACCATTAACAGTCAAACTTTTTTTTTTTTTGCCAAACAATGTTCACCACTTAATGATTCAGAAGCTGCCTTTTATCGAAGTTATTAAGAGGTAAACAAACAACCCCTTAATTTAATAAGTTGGAAATGATGTGAACAAATATATAAAAAGTAGTTTCTTATAGAAAGCCTCCATTAGAGATCGTTACATACATTCAATCGATTTCACATCTGCACATTTGCTTAATAGCTATAAAGGTTGGCAAAATCTAAAAAACGAAAATACTCATTGAATAAAAGGATTATAATTTGATCTTACAGATATCATAAAAATCAAGTAGTTTAACATATATTAGAGTCTGTTTGTTAGCAGCTTAATAAGCTTAATAGGATATACAACTTATTCGATCAGTTATGTTTGACCCTTTGGTACTTAATGATATAGAAAGTGGTTCATTTAATAAACTTCTAGGAGGATCTTTATATAGAAAACATGTTTTTTTCAACTATGTCTCTCTTAATTAAAAAACACGTTCCTATATATGAAAAAAAACCCTGACAAACAAAAAAATATTTCCAATCCATTCTGAGAGATTAATCAAGACAACAAACTTTATATATATATATATATATATATATATATATATATATAGAGAGAGAGAGAGAGAGAGAGAGAGCGATTGGTTCAAATACTAACCAACAAATTTGTGTTAACTATACTAACCAAGCCTAACCAATCATATTCCATCTTTACTTTATGTTCAAATGTAACTCATATATTAAATATAAGAGTAATTAGGTAATTTGACATTTATGTAACTCCCTAATAATTAATTGAGAGTTACAAATCTTAAAGATTTCACTAAATGATCATGATGTAATTCTGAATTTATCTTCATACGTGTTCATGATCGTAATTTTCAAGTGATGTTATACATATAATGATATTGTTTTTGTAAGTGTAAAAGATTTCCGTATCATCCGAGTAATATGGATAATCCTATTGTAAAACATATTGATAACAATGGAAATGAGAAAGTTAAAATCGTCTACGACTACGGTCGGAATTCAAATTCCGATAATGAAGATTATGATCAAAGCGTTCCTATTGGTAAGTGATTAGTATGACATTTCATTTTGTTTAAATGAACACATATCAAAGACTATAAATGTTCATATCGATACATATGCATAATCACATCACATGAATATGAACAGTATATGTGATGCATGTGAACACAAGCTTCGTAGGTGTTCATGTACATACAACAGAGTTGGCTCCTGAATATACAGAAGATGTTCATACGGTTCACATGTTGTTCATATGTCTAATCTTTTTTGTTTAATGTGTTTTGAGGATATACACAAGTTGATTATATGTCTGACAACTCGTGTATCAATAATAGATTGCTTTTTACCTAAATACCCTTTGATATTTTGTTCACATATGTTAATTGAAAATATTAATTTAATAATTAATTTTTAAATATCATTAAATCACAACCGTTTATTATTCAAATTAATGGCCAAGATCGGTTAACAAAGTTAACACGATAATCTTGATTAGTATTTGAACCAGCCTATATATATATATATATATATATATCATCTAATAAAAAATCAACCAAATAGCTTGTTTACATTATGCATATCCATAATTTTTCATTAAATTAATTAGAAAGAAAACATAACCCAATCATCGATTACCTCCTTCTATTGCTTCTTATAGCCTCTTCAAATTTCAACCTGTAGGTGTGTTCAATCGCTTCGTTTTTCCATGTGATCGAAGAGCCCGAAATGTTTCATGGCAACACGATGATTTCCATCTGGTTGCTATTTTTCATGAATTCGATCAATTCGATTTATGGCCAAGAATCCTACGATTCAACGTCTTGTATCGAACATGGTTTTGCTCCAGGAACAAGCTACACTTGCACTAACACCACCCTAACCAACATTTCTTGCCAAACTTTCTTGATTTTCCGATCAAACCATCAATTTCCGACCATCTCCGCCATCTCCGCCTTGTTTGGATCACCACCCACCACCTTGCTCCACCTAAACAACATCAATTATGCGTCCGACCTTCTCTCTGCAGATAGAGAAGTTCTTATTCCTGTTACTTGTTCTTGCTCTGGCGACGTTTTCCGGACCCGAATCAACTATACGATCACGGAAAAAACGACACTTTCCGACACCGCTTGTGGGGTTTTCGAAGGATTGGTGAGAACGATCACGCTTCTTGAAGAAAACCCGAATCTAGAAGACGTTATTAAGGTTGGTTTTGTTCTTAATGTGCCCTTAAAATGTGCTTGCCCTAATAAACCCTATAAATATTTGGTTACATACCCTTTGGTTTCAGGAGATTCTGTTATAAAAGTTAGTACGAAGTTTGATATTTCGATGAACGATGTTTTGCAAGTTAACGGTTTAACTCCGGACACGACCATTTATCCCAACTCGACCATTTTGATACCGTTGTATTCAGAACCCATGATTAATCTTAGCGTCCCGAATCTTCAACCGCCAACTCCCGGATTTTACCCAACAAAACCCATAGAACGAAAAGTGAAAACCGCGAAACTCAAGAAAGTGTACATTGTTGTTTCGATCATCGGGTTCGGTTTGGTGCTAGCGATATTAATCGTGACCGGTTTGTATGTAAACGCATTAAATAAATGCAAACGCGACATTTTTGTCATACCTTCGATGCAGCGGAGCTCGTTTACCTCATTTTCGACGCCTCGAGTTAGCTCCCCACGATCACGGCAAAGCCCGATCACGAGAAGCTCACCGAGCTCGTGTCTGTCTCCTGATCTCCTTGCGGGCATAAAATACTCTTTGTATAATTTTACGATCGACGAAATCAAAAAAGTTGCAAGGGATTTTAACGAAGATTGTAAAGTAAGCGAAAATGCATATCGAGGGTTGTTCGATGATGTTCAAGTTCTAGTCAAAGAGATTGAATTCTCGGAAATTCGCCACGTAATTGATCTCTATTCGAAAATCAACCATGTGAATGTCGTGAAACTGATCGGGGTATGTTACAATGAATCTTCGTGGTCGTATCTTGTTTTGGAGCACCCGGGGAACGGGAGTTTACGAGATTGTTTGACTAATTCGTCAAGTTTGACCTGGCATCGAAGGACTCAGATCGCGTTTGATGTCGCCATGGGGTTACATTACCTACACTATTGCATCGTCCCTCCGTACATGCAAACAGGGCTCGGTAGCGGAAACATTTTCGTGACGTCAAAGTGGAGGGCAAAGCTGACAGTCTTGTCAAGAAATACAAATCTCGTACTGCAAATTGGATCGTCCAATTCAGAGTACGAGAATTTCGATGTTCTGAAAGCATCAGAGAAAGAGAATATTTTGGAATTCGGAATGGTTTTGCTCGAGATTTTATCGGGAAAAGTAAAAACGGACGAAAAATCGATCGGTTTTTTAGGAGGCGAGGGGAATGAGAGAGGGTGTTTTGATCATTTGAGGAGCTTTATTGACCCTAATTTAAAGGATGATTACCCTTTGGCTGAAGCTTTGTGTTTAGGAGTCTTGGCTAAAGCTTGTGTTGAATGTGATCCTTTTCATAGGCCATCTATGGAGGATGTCCTTAAAGTCCTTGCTAGAATGGTATGAATTCAAAGGGTATTAAACAATTTTAGGGGTATTTTAGACATTTCCGATATAGGTATCTGTTAGGGGTATTTTAGACATTGTCAACCACATGCATACGTATGCGCACCAAAACAAGTTCAAACTAGAAGGCGGTCAATTTTCTTGAAGTACGAGCTAAATCAAATGTGATACAAGCACATCAAGTTAAACGGCATCGTGCGGACGACAGTTTTCCATGATCTGGGTCGTGTTAACCAAGTCGTCCGCGTTCTTGAAGATATGTTGTATCAGTATCACATATGATTTTATTCTGTAATCACATATGATATGACCCTTCATACCGTTGTTACAAATTGGATGTAAATATCATAATAAATGTTGATGCGTATTCAAATCTTTTTCTTTTACAGAAGTTTGTATGTTGAATGGTTTTATTTTATTTGATATTTTTATTTATTAAATATAAAAAAATAATACTTTTTAAATAAGTTTCAATAAAATCATGGAGATTTGTGGTTTATATATATATATGATATATGTATATATATATATGATATATATATATATATATATATATATATACACACACACACTCACTTATTCTATTAGATATTTATGTCGTTGCTTCTTTGTCCTTTTAAATGATTCGTTTGGGAACGTCACAGGATATGGACAGGCAGACAGCCAATGCCATTTGAAAAATAGATGGGTAACAAGTTGCTATATATATAACAAAAACACACACATGTAATATATATATATATATATATATATATATCATCGATCAAATGCAAACTATCTAATTTGTACAAACCGTGTAAACCACTTTCATCTGTCAATTTCATTGTTTAATCTTATGAAACTTTTAATGAAATCGTTTGATCTTGTGAAATTGTTTCATATAATATATATTTTTTTTTGATGAAATTGTTTCATATATGGTTATGAAATTGTTTCATATAATACTTAATGAAATTTTAATGAAACTGTCCAAGGGGCAGAGCCCCTGGCTGGGGTCGAGCTGCGAGGCCAGCTTGGAATTTTTTCCCGGGTAATATTGCTTTGTGAAAAATGATTCAAAAATCTGAATTTGAAATTTTAAATCCGGTTTTGATGACCACTCTAGAGTTAAATTCGGAGTTAAATTCGGAGTTAAATCCAGACTTACAATTCTGAAATTTCCAAGAGTTATGTTGTAAGTCTGGAGGCCACTTCAGAGTTAAATTCAGACTTATAACTCTGATTTTCTCATACTTTCATACTCGTATGTCTTACAAGTCTGGAAGACAACTCTGAATTTTAATTGAGGAAAAAGAGTTCAGATTTCTCCTCAGACTTCTATACTAGTATGTCTTACAANCTCTGAATTTTAATTGAGGAAAAAGAGTTCAGATTTCTCCTCAGACTTCTATACTAGTATGTCTTACAAGTCTGGAAGACAACTCTGAATTTTAACTGATAAAAAGAAGTTCAGACTTGTTCTCAGACTTTTGTACTGGTATGTCTTACAAGTCTGACAGACAATTCTGAATTTTAACTAAGGAAAAGGAGTTCAAACTTATAAGTCTAAGGAATGACAATCCAGAGATTTCTACTTAGTCTGCGAAATTAGTTACACCACGAAAACAGGAAAATAAACGTGTAGAGGGACATATGTCACTTAAATAGACCTATTTGAACCGTAAGTGAAAATTGTGTCTAGATACATGTTTAGGCGTGAAAAATTCATAATCGTCGCACAGAAACATGACAAGTGTCCCCAAAGTTACTTATTTATTAGGTGTATAGATTCAAATGAGAACCGTAAATATTTTGATAATCTAACAACCAACGTTCATTTTTCTTCATTTATAAATGTCGTGCTAGATATATATCATGAAAGTTATAAATGGTAGTGCATACCATCATATGTTGGTCGCATTAAGAAGAGTTGCATTAGCAAGTTTATAATCTTGATCAAGCTTTCCGAGTTTCAAAGTGGTTCAAACCCTTTTGTGTGTGAGGTCGATTGGAGATCGCATGTCTCCATGGTTACACAAGTTCCATTCGGGACGAATCTCTCCCTAATGATCTGGCTCGTTATGACTTGTTGACGTCGTAATTGAACTCGTGTTCATCGTCTACATCATATTTCTAAGAACACGAAATATATACAATCAAAGATATATATATATATATATATATATATATATATAAACAAGAATTGAAGACAATATTCAGATTGAATTGATACTGAGCAATAGGTGCAAAGGAGATGATGAAAATAGCAAAGATCATGTTTTTAATAACATTTAAAGACTTGAACTTTGTTTCTCTTTTTGAAACAACAAGAGTGTTGTTTCACCAATGAAACAACATATGAGTTGATTTGTATTGATTTATTTTACCAATGCAATGTCGTTTCACCAATTAAACGACACATGGGTTGATCTTTATGATCTGTTTTTGATAATTTAGTATTGTTTTACCGATGAAACAACACATGTGGTTGGTTGGTTATAAATACAGTGTCCTTTCACCTACATCAAGCGGGGGATTGATAAGTGGGTTTACAAATCTAACCGCAAGTGTATGATATGATATCAAATCATGTAATATGTACGGTAAGTACGAATATCGAACCAAAGGAACTAGAGAGTAGAGACTGATTGAATAGACGAATATCACATTGATAAATTTTCACATAGGACACTTCAGTTGCCATAGTTATCAAGTAATTCCAATTAAATAAATACACAATCAGAAAATTCACTATTAGTAGACTGCTAGAAAAGTGACTTTCAGCAACGCGCATTTAGCGACAACATGTTTCAGCAAGAAGTTATTGCGGCGACATGTCGTCTCTACGAATAATCAACGAATATGGCTTCAGATCTTCGATCCCGATGTTAACCTCTGTCTTTCGTGGCTCCAAATTCACCCAAGAATGACTTCAAATCGCCCAAGAAAAGCTCCCAGCCGAATGGTATGCAAAATGCAATAATCCTAGTTGAAAATATGATAAAAAACGCCAATCCATAACTTCTTTGTTTTAGCTTCGATTTGATTCCGAAATATACCATTGGACGCCTCTTTGAGTCCTCTATTCAGTAAGACTATAAAATATTGCATTAAAGCTCAAAATCTCAAATTTCTTCTATTTTCAACAACTAATTACACTATATTTTTATAAACTTTTTAATATAAACTTAAAATAAACTGAAGTGTAGCCATTTAAATTGATTTATATTCATATCCTAATTATATAAGAAAGTTAGGTAACTTTCTTATATGAATACAAGATGAGTCATTAAAGTTGTTGAAATCATATGAATTATAGACATTCAATGTGGATGTAATAACGTTTTAAAAAAGGTTATTTTAATTTATATAATATCTTAAGTTTAATCAATTCAATTTTATATTTAATTTTAATGAATATTGGAAAATAAGTTTATTAAATGTATTAATTCTAGAAGGAAAGGAATACCCAGTAATTGTGGTTCGCTGTTAACCATGGTTTTATAGAATAGAATATTGGATAATGGTACGGGAAGAATTCAAAACATGACCAACTTTTTGGACTTAATTCTGGATGACTCCACTCGCTTTTATTGAATTTAACCCAATTTCAGCCTTTTTATTCTTCTAACTATTTTTCTCTTTTTATATTAAAATTATATTATATTATATTATATATTAAAAAAATATATTTATATTACTTTATAAACCAAATTTATCAAAACTCTTAAAAATAATTTTTAATACATAAAATACTATACATTTATACACAAAGTCTTAAAAGTTTTAAAAACAACTCATAATTCATTATGTACTACTACTTTATGCATTCAATCTTAAAAATATTTTGATTTACAATTAAAATAACATTTAGTACAAGTTACCAATGTACATTATTACATTTTCTTTTCATGTTCCCAAGATACTTTTGACACCTTTCACTTATGTCTTCACCCTCTCATACCTCTATGTCTTCTCCCCATCCTTAAGGTGAGAATCAAACTGATATTCACCATGAGTTATTAAAAGTTCTCTCATTCATCTCTCATTCAATTGCTCTAGAACTCACGTTCTCGATTTCTTGATTCTTTGCTCTTGGTGTAAATCGAACACATTTGTTGAGTCGTTTAAATATGTTGGATTTTAAATATATTGGATTTTAAACCATCATACAATTTTTTTCCATCAATAGACTGTAATTGAAACCATAACTCTTATTTATTCAAATTGTATTAATATATAAAGACGAAATGTAACTTATATCATCGCTAAATCTACCTATCTTTTTTATCATATTTCTAGAGTTTCATCATTCTTTTCTAGAATGAAAACACGGGGTTGAAACTAATGCTAGTAAAGTTGTTTGAATGATAGTTTAAACAATTGAATCAAAAGCTTTTGATTTGAATAACCCATTGACTATTTTTTACTGTTCATCATTAAAAAGTAATATTAAAATGGAAGAAGTTTTATTTGAGTTCTTCCAACTATTTCGATCATGACGATCATCATAAAAGCATTTGATCTAATTGTCTATTTTAGTTGTTACTTTATGACTTTTTCGGTCATTTCGGCATGTCTGAAAAAGTCGTACCGTAACTTGAATACGCCAGTAATTTACGCGGTCTAGACTCGTCAATTTTTGATAAATTCCATAAAAAATATGAGTATTTACAAATATCATGTGGAAAAAAACAAATCTTATTGAAGAAGAAAAATACATCATATAACTCTATCTATGTGTATACAAATTATATATATATATATATATATATATATATCAAATAATTAATAACTACTTGTATAAATAACCATATTCTCTAAATTGAAACACGTAATGCAACGACATTTCTAATATGCTACATATGTTTTATTGTTCATCGAAAAACAAAAATCTATGATGAATATTTAAAATAAATTGTTAAACTATGTGTGTGTTGAGTGGTTGGATGGTCAGGGTTTTTTTAAACCACCGACCACTTTTGCATAAACATCGATTAATTTTATGAACCTTGGAGAAA